ATATATTATAATTATTTATTTATTTATTTATTTAACAAGAATATAATAATAAAATAATAAATAAATAAATAAATAATAATATTATAATAAAGATAGAAAGGAAAAGAAAAACAAAAAAAAAAGAAAAAGAAAAAGATGAAATTATTTTATAATGTTAATCCCAGGATTTTTGTTTTCGGCTTCTCGTCAAACTCCACCACATATTTAGGTAGCTTCGGCATTTCTTTTGCTGCATGCGCAGACAACTCCTGCAGCAGCAGCAGCAGCAGCAGCAGCAGCAGCAGCAGCAGCAGCAGCAGCAGCAAGAGCAGCAACAGCAGGAGCAGGAGCGAGAGCAGCAGCAGCAGCAGCAGCAGCAGCAGCAGCAAGAGCAGCAGCAGGGAGAAGAAACAAAGAAAGAAATAAAATAATAGATAGAATGTAGAAGGAAAGATAGAAATATATATAACAAATAATATATAAAAATATAAAAAAAATAAATAAAAAAAGAAAACGTAAAAAAATAAATAAATAAATAGACATAAATGGATGTTACAAAATGTACGATCAAAATATACATAATATAAATATAAATATAAATATAAATATAAATATAAATATAAATATAAATATAAATATAAATATAAATACAGAATATAAATATAAATATAAATATAAATATAAATATAAATATAAATATAAATATAAATATAAATATAAATGTAAATATATATATATATATATATACACACAAACATAAATATAAAAACACACATATACATATATATACAACGCAAAAACAGACAAAAACGAGTAAAACAAAAAAAAAAAAAAATAAAAATAAAAATAAAATAAAATAAATACCTTAATAGATTTAAGATAAAGTGTATGTTCTCCTTTTTGTGTAAAAACAAAACCCGAAAAAACAGAAAAAGTAGCGCGAAAAAGCAGCCCCGCATGCAAAACAAAAAACTGCGATAAATTATCAACAAATTTTTCAATTAAATTAAAAAATTCTCCAAAAAGAGAAATGCTGGGAATGTTGGAGTGATGGACAGCTGAAACACAAACATACACACAAATATTTTTTTTTTTTTTTTTTTTTTTTTTTTTTTTTTTTTTTTTTTTTTTTTTTTTTTTTTT